CAGCAAAGAGCCTAGGGCTACGGATAAGAAATGGAAACGTGGAGGGAAAAATGAGTTTATGGAAATGTTTCTAAGGACCTGTTTTGTTGACTTTTCAGTTGGTTTAAAGTGCTGTGCAAGTGCTCCCGCCGGTGGGGTGTGGTCTGGGTCTGCACAGGGTGCGTGTTGCCCTGGCGACACTCGCTCGAGGTCCCCCTGTCCCGGGTGTTCGTGGAGCTGCGCGGGGCAGGAGAGTGCGACTATCTCAATTTTCTGGACGAAGACTTGGGGACCAGTGAGGACGGGGCTTCTCTGAAGTCCTAGGGCCTGCCGCAGGGGTCTCTAGGATGTCCCCAAGGCCTTCGTGGGTGCCCTGGCGGCGAGTGTCCCGCCTCTGTGTGGCACGGGTGGTGCTGAGGGCTGTTCGCTTTTTGTCCTTTGATTCTGAGCTTTTGTTTCCACGCGGCCAGGAGGGTTCATGCCACGCTGGCCACCGTGGGATCAGAGAGCAGACCCGCTTCCGTGGTGGGATTGCAGCACATCAGGTGTGGCCGGCAGGTCCTGCCTCGAGTGCTGCAGGTCTGCTTGTCATTGACACGTTTATGCCAGTTGGTTGCAAAATTTAGGGTGCAGGGTTTGTTCCCTGTCACTAAATTGGTTTTGTCTTACGCTCCGTGCTATTTTTTATCAGGCTCTGGTGTTTTTTATGGGTCCTTGGTGAATGTCTAGTTTAGCATACACTCAGTTTCCATGTTTATAAGAAAACCCTTTTGTTTGTAAATTTAACTTGTGATTATTTTTTACCCCATGATGACTCACAGAGTTACTACACACTGTAACAAATTTTGTACCTGCTCTTCTAGGCACCATCTTGAACAGCTAGTAATATGATAGCCAGGGCGGTACTTTAGTGTTTAAAATAGTGCTGAAATGCAGAGTTATTTTGTTAGAATAGTTATCAATACATAGGTTGATGCAATACTAATGAAATATTTTACATCTTATTTATTTTTCTTGTTTTCATTAAGGCTTACTCTTGTGTATTGTTTGCTATCTGCTTTGTGTGACTGGAACACAAATTTATTCTATTTATTTATGATCAATCCAATTTTTCTTTAGACAAGGGCATCAGTTTAATTAAAAAAAAAGAAGAGGACTGGAACACACATTTATTCTATTTATTTATGATCAATCCAATTTTTCTTTAGACAAGGGCATCAGATTAATTAAACAAAAGAAGACAATGTGTATATAACATACAAAGTTTTTAGTTTTTCAACAAGGTTGTAGTTGCATTTGGTAGATACAGCTGCTGAAGAAAGCAGATCCATTTCCCTTTTCTTGTGCTCTGGTGTCTACTCAGTCATCTGTTTGACTTTGTGATAAGCTGCGTTAGGGACCTGATTTGCCTGAGAACTCACTGAAACAAACAAGCACAGAATTTTCAGCCAAATCAGATTCCTGATCTCCATCTCTAACATGCCTTCACATAAGATGATTTACTTTTCACTTGGTGGTGGTAGTGTATCACAACAGCTGAAGGTGTTTCTTGAAGTCCGCAATTGTTCCTAAGTGTCTGTAGGATACAATTCTGTGTTTCATATTTCTTAGTCAATAAAAAGCCTGCTCTGTAGTCAGGGCTTGCTCTTTGGTTTGGTCAGATACTGAGAGGTGGTGTCACACATCCTGTTTTCCATCACGGCGTGTCTCTAAGTCTGCAGACAGATATCTGCCAAGAGCTTTCTTCACAGCCTCTTTGGGCAGATGTGTTCCACTGCTTCACTCTTTACTCTTGAAAGGATCTTCCCAGCCTCTCATCCAGAACACTGCTGTGATCTGAACCTGGAGCTCTTATCTCCTCTATAGTAAATGTTGAAAACAGGTTATTACCTTACTTTTATCACAGCAACCTTTAGCATGTGTAGAGGTTTTGATCATGTTTCTCTCCAAGCCTTTCCTCACAGGCCATTATTTCTCCACTTATTGTTCATATCACTTACCTGTAGATAACATTACTGGTAGTGTATGGAGATGCCACTCATTCATGTGTAAAATCTCAGATGCTTTTGCTGTCCCAGGACCATACAATGAAACAGTTATGGATAAACTTTTATTCTCCTGGAACAAACCCCATTTTTTTTTTTTTTGAGCATTTCTTATGTCCTTTCTACGCAAATGGAAAGATGGAAATAAATGGGGTAATGTCCTACTAAAGCCATGTGCTAGTATTAGGTAGGGGTTTCCTTTTCCTCTTTTTTTTTTTTTTTTTTGGGGGGGGTGGATACTTCATGCTAATCCGTTTATTTATCCACTCGGTTCAAATCTAAACTAATACAAAAATTAGCTCCTGCGGTTTTTTGCCAGTAACGTTCAGAGACTGCAGTGTGTAATTTCTGCAGAGGGGCTACATGACAAACATCCCCAATGTTTACCTCACATTTCAGTTCAAAAGCCTTTTTAGTGTGTGGCTTTTTTAGTAATTACTTGCTAGCTTGTTTCTTGGAGATTTTCTGTTTTGTGTGTTCAATTTACAGTCTTTGATTTAGTTTACCTTGGAAAAGACACCTACTGTTGAGATACCTGAAAAACAGAAAGGTAACAGAAAAAAGATTGATGCTCAGTCCTGGGCCTGGCCCTGGGTCAGAGTGTTACCAGTGAGACATTGCTTTTACATGAACTACTCAGAAATATATTTTAAGAATAAATAGAGTAGTATTGTAAGAGGAATATTTTTGTGAGAGCATGGGGTCAAACGGTAAAGGTTTTGATGAAAAAGGAATAGAAAAAGGCAGAATGGTGGAATTTGATTACTGAAATTTGCCTAACTTGGTCTTACTGTGTTGTACACTGTGCAGTTTTTCATAACCTAACCATAGCCTGTTCTTTTGCAGCTGAACTGTGAGAAAGGTAATCAGCTGCTTTAATAGCAGGAGAGTCTTGATTTTTTTCAGTTCATCAATAGTACGTACAAGGTGAATTTAATTGTGCACCTCTGTGCTAGCCACGCAATTACTCTTAAGAGCGTTTCATTGTCAGTTCCCACAGTAAGTCAGTAGTAAACACCATTCTTTCTTCTGTTAGCATCTCTAAGATTTTGTTCATAATCTTTTGTTCATAATCCCCTATGGAGATCGTAGTCTGCATTAGAATTTATGATATGTTGCCTTTTTTTTTTTTTTTTACTTTTTTTTCCTCACCTCTTTTTAAAACATTTGTTAACGCTTCTGAAGCCTGACCTTTATATTTTAATTTTAGGAAATAACATCTTTACTCTCACTTTATGGTGGGCAGTTCAGCGGTGAGCAGGAAATTCGTGTGAATGTAAGTAAGGACCAAATATTTTACTTGAGTCCATGTATGGTATACAATTATATTCTTTATAGTCTTTTTATTAAATATGGGTAGCTGAATAAATTTTGGGGTTTTCTGGGAAAATAAGAGATCTTCCAAAAATGACTAAGTCTCAGTTTCAGTAAGGACTCAGAGTTGAGTAGAAGATGCACAAAATGCACCTCAGGGTGTCTTCGTTTAGCAGTGTGAAAGGAAACAGTGCCATCTGCTGGGAAACTCTCCTTTTCAGAATAGCTGGTGGAAACATTTAGTAGCTGTTTTAATTTGGTGTTTACCTCTAAGTCAATGAGAAAGCATATCTGGAAGAGTGAACCTAGGAAGCTGTATGATTCCGGTCCCAATGCTTAGTCAGAGAATGTTACTGCGTTTCAGTTACTACTTGCACGTAACTAAGTGTTAATGATTCTTCAGAGGATGAATAATCTGGAGAAACATAAATAATAATATTTTACTAAGTCAAAGATATGGTGGGAAAATGAAATGCATAATAAAATTTAATCCAAGCTGAGTATACAGTTTTATCTCAAATTAAATGTTTTATCCGCACATTACGTGTACAGTTAACAGATTTTTTTTTTAAATCTTCAGCATTCATGTTCTGTTTTTATAGAACAGAATTGTGTAATTGTGTAATTCGTGTGACATCCTCCAGCTAGACGTTTGCGTCACTTATCTTCTCTTTATTTCAGTCTCCGTTTTGGATTCTCAATATTTCTTCAGAAGAGATGGCAAGGGGACTAATGAAACGGACAGTATGTGCAAAGTAAGAGATGAAAAATCTTGTAAATGATAATGTAGGCGGTAGAAAATTGTTCTGCTACCTTGTGGCAAATATTAATTTTATACAAAGTCTTAAAAAAAAAAAGTCTCTGACTGCCTCTAGAATTGAGGCAGCATTACTGGAGTTTGTAAGACTGATTATGTAGTATGCCTGTCCTCTTCACTTAGTATATAATCAATGCAGGGTCTTGAAGTGGGGTTATTCTTCACTGCAGAGCCAGTACTTGGCTTGTGGTGTCACTGATGTTTTAGTTGTCCTGAATAATGTTTAGTTAGTGGCTTGTTTTAAAATGTGTATGCAATTATAAGATAAAAAAAGTGATACATAAAAACTGAAAATCAAGTTTGGAAGGGAAAGGTGTTAGTTCCTTGTGTCACCATCCTAGTGCTGGTACCTGAGCCCTTGGCCCAGACCACTGCAGGACAGGTCCTCCTAGAAAATTAAAAAGCACAGGAATATGCCAGAGAGTGATTGTTCCAGTGGCTTTTGGTCCCTTTTTAGAGGTGTCTGAATAACATGCTTTCCAGTGAGGCTTGACCTTGGAGGTATGGTTCAGGACAAGAAGAAGCGTAGCTGTGGTATGGGACCTGACCGTACTGAATTTGGGGTGCCTGTGCTGTCCTGTTTGGGGTTAGTTTGGGCACCTCTGCAAAGCTTTGCCTGGTCCTCTTGAGTGCTTATTGTGTCAGGTATTCAGTTTTACCTAGAATGACTTGGGCTGTCTGCTCTTGCATAAAGAAACCTCGCGTATACAAAATTGTCCTTATGACAGTAAGTTTCCAATGGGGATAAACTGTATTGTACTTCAAAAAGTAACCGTAGGCAGCAAAGGAAGTAAAACTTGACAAAAAGCTTGTGGATGTTCCGTAAGCGGTGCTTTCTCAGCTGAGGTATGCTTATTTTATGTAGAAAGCGTAGCTGGCCCATAACTGCTTATTCCTGGTCTCTACTATTGGTTGTGAGGAGATATGTTAGATTTTAGAGAAAGATTGCTGAAGCATCTCCATCACACTACTGATTATATTAAAAGCTCTGAAGCATACATTTATCTAAATAAAATCTCCCCAGCATTTTGTGTTTTTTTTTCAATACATATGTAAGTGTAAAAATAAAAAGTGGGACTAAAGGTGTTATAAGAGCTTCTCTGATAGTTGAATAAAACTGAAGATGAATATTTGGTTTTCTCTAGTACAGCCTATGCTGTGTCTATAAATACAGTTTAAATTCTCACAGTAGATGTATCAGATGCTTTAGGAAAAAAAAATTAGACACTGTGAAAAATACACTTTTTTCAGGGTAAATACAGCTTAGAAATGTAGCCTTAAATAATTTATTCAGGAAAGGAATACTTAAAATAGCTTACCATTGGGCTTTAGTATCTGCTGTTGTCACTTAGTAAAATGTGGTTCTCTTATTTTTGTTTGAGTGAGCTAAACCTTTGGCCATTTTGAAGATTTTCCTTCAGGAGTCATATTTGAAAAGGTGCTACATGGTACTGCTAATCCTTAAAGACTTTGTTTACGACATGTTGCAAATGCATTTATGAGCATCTACCAATATGCAGCGACACTAGGATTCCTGTACTAAAAGAGTTTTTTTCTTTGATACTGAAGGGCCACTTGGTTGGAATATTTGAGTGCTGGGGGAAAGGTCTGTGGTGGGGTTGAGCCTTCATTACAGTAGCATTGGTTCTCTCGTCTTCCAAGGCAATGCCTTTCTTAAAGCCAGCAACATGGAAATAAACAGACAAAAAAAAGTGTAAGAAGATAGCATAGTGTTTAAACATCTGAAAATGTCAGAAATCATAACCACGTTTTAAAATGGGACAGGACCTCTAATGATGCCATTGTACATAGGATGTTACAGTTTCATGATTTGTTTTACTTCAGGGTAGAGTAACAATTTGAAAGTCTTCTTGACATTTTTTAACCTTTGCTTACCCCATCAAATTGATAGGTACAAATGAATTTTGTCTCCTTTGTTAGTATCGCTAGCTGCCAGAAAAAGGTCTGGTGATATCCAAGGGTACTAAGACTGAAATTTACCTTTTAGTATCTGTTACCAAACAAAAAAGCATCATCAAAATATCATCTTTTTTTAAAGCGTGTCCCTGTTAAGAACAAAAGCATAATGCACTTCAATACTCCATGAAGCAAAGTCTAAGTACATTGGCCAAGAAGGTTAAAAGGAGTAAGTATCTGTAAGGCATTTTTTTTTCCACCCTTGTATGACTGCATCTAAAAAACTTTGTAATTCCAGGTCTATATTTGAACTGTGGGGCCATGGAAGATCTGCGGGTGAGCTCTATTCATCTTTGAAGAACTATCCAATGGACAAGATGGTATGCGTGTAAAGAATCGGGATAATATGGTTCCTTACTCACACTGAATAGCATTGCAACTGTACTAATGAAAGTATCTTTGCCTTTTTTTCAGCTTCCATACCTACAGCCAGACTCTACTTACAAAGTACATATTCATACATTTAATAAAACGCTGACCCAAGCACAGAAAATAGAAAAGATAGATGTAAGTAAATGTTTAAGAAATCTCTGACGTTTAATTTAATCTATTCACGTTGTTCTTATTCCATGCTGTGTATTTGAGTTTCCTGAAGAACTTAAAGCAGTTCATAACTTATATCTTATCAGATCTAAATGAGATCTTTGTGTCTGAATTAACATTCCCTCAAAATTCATGACTTTGTGTTTTTTTTCTAAACAAACCATGTAAGGCATATACAAAGACAAATAAATATCACTGCTGATTTCAGCCCAGCGTGCTGGGGAAACTGAAGCTTATTACCCAAAATTATAAGATTCCAATGACTAGAGTTAGGTGATACATTTTTGGAAAATCTGTTACTTGATCTCCATATTGTTGCAGAATGTGGAACAAGTGACTTGAGGTGCAAGCTGTGGATCGTGTGCTGATTTCCTGTTCTGGCCTTATGCTCTTGTCTGCACTTGTGCTCTCCTCCTAACTGTATCAGTATTTTAATTAGGCAATTTTTCTAAATTACTGTTAATTTTTTCCTCTTCCACATTGTATTTTAGCAGCTATTTATCCTGTTTCCTTCATTGACAGGAACTGAAATGATCTGTATTAATAGTTAACTACCCTTTCCTGTTCAGTTTTTGTGTACATGAAATAACGCTGAGTATGTAAGTTGGTGTAGCTGCATGTCACTGAAATTTTAATCCCATTGTTCATTATTGATGTTGTTTTTATAACTTGAAAATGGCATAATTAATATGCCCAGTTCATTTCCTCTAAAGTTGCCTTCTGTACAGTTAATGAAAAATATTGTGGTTCCTGATTTCTAATCCTCAATCATTGGAGCTGTCTTTATTCACCAGAAAGGCATTTCAGAAATCCAGAGAAAATTGAGAATGTACTTTTAGTACTAATCTATCATTTCTCACAAGTGGAATTGTGGTTTGTTTTTGTTTCTTTTTGTTTTCTTGTAGGGTGCGTATTTCAAAAATTTGACCCTGTTGTTTTTGACTCTGTTTTTCTTTATTGTGTAGGCCCTTGAATTTCTGCCATTCAAAGGAAAAGTAAATTTGAAGAATCCAGAACACATCTTCTGGATTTTGGAAGATTATGGAATGGACCCTAATAATGTTCCAGAAGAGCCTTTTCGTCTGTATTTTGGTAGATGGGTGCGTGAGTATGCTTTCTTCAGTTCTTATGAGCTTGTATTTTCAAGAAAGCATTCTTCAATTTAAATGTAAAAAAATGTGTTGAATTTTAATGAAGCAGACAATATAATTGTGCCTGAATCTGTCACTGTATGATACACTGATGCAAGTCTTGAAAGTCCTTACTGTGACTAGGAAAAAGCAGGTTAATTGAGCAACTTAGAGGTGGAAAAAATTGAAGTTGTATCTGGGAATACACCTTATCTTGCCCTCCACTGAGGGAACTCAGCACAGCAATGAGACTGTACAGCTGTGGTGGTGTGTTATATTATTGTGGACCCAGGTGGAGCTAAAAGCACCAGAAGCTTGTTTCAAACCCAAAGAAGGATTTACAGGAACTGTAGATGACTTGCAGCCCTGCTGAGTTGCATCAGCCCTGCTGGAACATTCTCTAAGTGCTTCAAGCGATCATGACTTGTACGTCCACAGAAAGGTGCAGACTGATCCGTGAGGCTTTGGACATCAGCGGGTCCAGCCCACAGGTGGGTGCTCACCCAGGGAGACACTGACAGTGCAGTGCTGTACAGTAGGAACCACTTTCAAAAACTGTCTGGAGCTTGTAATCTGAGGTCTTTACTACGAACGTTCTTGCCTGTTGAGTGTATGCACTCCAAACCTGCTGCATTATTAGGATATCCTGAGGAAATCTAATCTGGTCTTTTGTTTCTTGTGATGAAAAAGTGGCTTTCCAAAGGACATCTTCCAGAATGACACCAGCCACTGGTGGGAATACGTGCTTGCAGTGTACTGGGTCAAGGGCAGCTGGAAGGAGGGAGAACCACTGCTGAGGCTGTACAGCTATGGTCAGGGGCTGTGTACAGAGATGTTGGAGTTCCAAGTGATCTGTTAGCACCTGTGAATATTTTCAATGCTTGTGATTAATGTGAAATCACCGTGGGTTGTGACGATACTGCAAAACATTGCAGCTGTTGTCCCATCTGTGCTAGATTCCTTAAGTGTTTAAAAATAAGTAAACCAACCTGAAAAAAATGGGCAAGTGTATTTTGTTTACCCAATAAGACTGATGTTGACCGGAGCTGGGTGTTGTTCTTGGAAGAGCTTTGGAGTGCATTTTCCTCCAGGCTGCTTTGGTCCTCTTCAACATATTTTGTAAGTCTGATGTAAAAATGCTAGCGTTTGGTCTTTGTTTATCCAGTAAATTCTCTTCTGTCAATGCTATCCTAAATTTAAATTTTGAGTATGACAGAAATGCCAGTGAAGATGAAACTTCTGTGTGACCTTTAGCATATGCGTGTGTGTATGTGCACGCACATGTTAACATGCATTTGTACTCCTTAGCATTTTGAAATTCTTTTAAGTTACCAGGAGTTGTTATTCTGATACCTAGACTAATAGCAAAGTTGCTCATCTTCAGAAGAATTTTCCCTCTAAATTGTTTGTAGATTTTTGACTTTTGTCTTGAAGGATTTATCTAGGTGTTGCTGTTGCTAGGAAGGAAGTCTGTCATAGTTTCAGAAGGCAGAAAGCAAAGTGATGTGTTATGGAATGAAGAGTTACCTGTTTGTTGGATGGTGTCACTTAAGCAAGTTGTCAGCCTGTCTGCCAGTCTTTTCTATCCAGGACCTGACAGGGATTTTAAATGTTTCAACAGATTGCAGATGGCCAAAGAGAACTTATTGAGTCCTACAGTGTGAAAAAGAGGCACTTTATTGGAAACACCAGCATGGATGCCTGCCTGTCGTTCATTATGGCAAACCATGGGAGAGTAAAACCCAATGATGTTGTGTATGATCCGTTTGTTGGAACAGGTATATTTTTTCTACTGGCGGGAAAAACTGGGAAATTGTGTTACTGCTCACATCACTCTTTTACCTGGTGCAGTGGCTTCTGGTGGTCAACTGAGATTTGAGATGGTACCAAAAGCAAAATGGTGATTGTGAAAGGAATGTTTTGTTAACTCGAAAGTGATGTGGGTGGAAGGAGACCAACTTCAGAAGATGTAAACAGACACTTGTTGGAAGTGTAAAATAAACTATCTTAATTATATTTTTTAATCTATCATGGCTTAAACACCAGTTCATGCATGTCACAGACCTCTTAAAATCTGAAGAGACTAAGAACTGAAATTGGCTAGAGCACTCCCTGCAGCTGCTTTCAGAGTGTTACAAGGAGCGTTTTTGGAAGTGGCTGTTTAGAGGAGTGCTGAGGGCACTTCAGGGCATCTAACACAACATGGCAATAGTTAGATCATAGCATTCAATAGTGATCAGTTCCTTGTACTGTCATGCCTTGTCTTTAGGATAACATTGTTCACACCATATATTCTCCCCCAGTGGAGCTTTTCTTAGTTAAGCCAGGAGGGGGAGCTTTTATTCCACATATTACTGTGGATGGCCTAGAAGTAGTTTCTACCAAAGGGAAACTCATCTGTTTTGTAGGTAAAATAGAAGTTCTGTTGTGTTAGGTTGTGCCGTTTAAGCATACCAGAGTATGTGGTGTTAAGCTGCCTGTAGCAGTTTCTTCAAAAGCGTAACAAAGACTCTGTTTCTGACCTGGATTTTGCTAAACTTTGATCAAGAAGACCATGTGTAAGACACATATAATTAAAAATTACTAACATTAATGGGAGGATGAAGAGCATTCAGTGCACAAATTATTACGAAGAAGTTAGGGAGACAGAAGGCAACATTAGGGGGTCACTAGTAAGACATATTCTTATTAACATGTGGCTTCTCTGTACTGTAGAAAATAGACCAGGGATATAATATTTTAAGAAACACAAGGCTTCAGTGAACTGTATGGTTTTGTCTTAAATCTTTGTTTGTATATGACCTGATTTTTTACATGCATAATAATCTCTTATGAAGTTTCCTCCTTCTCCTTGTGCTCCTTGCAGGTGGGTAGTACTCTTTGACGGGTTACGGAAGTTCCTAGACCAGGGATATAATATTTTAAGAAACACAAGGCTTCAGTGAACTGTATGGTTTTGTCTTAAATCTTTGTTTGTATATGACCTGATTTTTTACATGCATAATCATCTCTTATGAAGTTTCCTCCTCCTTGTGCTCCTTGCAGGTGGGTAGTATTCTTTGACAGGTTAAGGAAGTTCCTCTAGTTCATCTCTAAGCAGTTTTTTTCATTTCGGTATCTGTAGTTTTGTTTCTTTTTTACAAAAATCTGCTAAACCTAAATGACAAAAAATTCTCTGAGAGCATACATTCTCTTGGGAGTGAAAATTGATGAGAAAAAAGAAAGAGTAAAGTTAGAGGAAGAAAAATCACATAGAGGTGCTTAAGCTATAGAAATTCAAGATAAGTGTTAAGTCGTAAGCATTTCAGTGCAAAAGTGCAACATCTACAAAATTGTCCCCAAATTGCCTAATGATTTGAATTGCAACATGTGTGTTTTTATTGCCCTAGACATCTGTATTTTGTGGGCTTGAGATTAAAGATGCATAGGGACACTGGAGATACTGGGTGGCACACCATTTGCCAGTAAAGTGTATTTATGACTTAATAACTTTTGCACCTACTTTTGGTGAGTAAACTCCAGGAATTTCAACTGTCTCTTCAGGTCCTTTAGAGGATTTTCAAGATTGCCAGTGCAACAGTGCCAAACCACTGGAATTTTGGGAGGTAGTTTAGAGCTGAGAGTGATGCAGTGAGTTTGAGGTGATGGGTTTGGAAAGAATATATATTCAGAATTTGAGGAATACTTTAAAGAAACTGTAGTTTTGATTTCTTTATTGGTGTAACTTTAATACCTGGCTTGGTATTTTTTATGCTGAAAAGGTAAATGTTACCAAATTAGAACAGCCTTGCAAAATGGTGCTTGCTTGTTGTCGAGAAACTGAGGTGAGCCAAATTCCATGTTTTCCAGATCAGTGTAAGAGTGGACAATTGGAATTTGTCCTTGGAATGAAAAGTGCTTTTGACCAGGCTGGTTTAGGAAACACAGTTCTCCGTTTTTGTACAGTAGAATCGGAATGGCCAGGATTGGTTCTGAGTTATAGAACATAATTTCCAGAAGCTTTCAAAATAGTCTTTCCTCCATGTTGTACAGAAGGAAGCCTGGAGGTTTCCAGAAGACCAAATCAAGTCTTCTGCCTGGATACTTTGTATTGTCCTCCTAGACAGTCTGTTCTGGTTATCTCAGTAAGCTTATAGTGTATACCTTTGGAAGATTTGTCCCTGCTTTCCCTTTGTCAGTTTGTGATCCTGCGTAACTACAAATGACAGGAACTTTTTCTTTGACATCCTGGATATGACCGGCCCTCATCTGCGATCAAGAGGTGGGGGAAATAGACACTATCCAATAGAAAGGCATGAGGTTCTGTGCCATCATCATTCTGCTAATACTCCTTGGGGACACAATGATTGTCATCAGACAACCCTTTGTATACATCTATTTAATATAGATGGTCAAAGGACTGTCCATATTGGAATATTTAAGTATTCATGCACCTTATGTGTGGACACCATTGAACTAGTTCCAGCTGAGATTTATTAAAAGCTGTAAGTTCATGTTTTCCTAACTTTCTTTTTCCCTGTGATTAAAAACATTGTTAGATGGGCAAAGTACTTTCTTCTTACTTTTTTTATAGGACTGGGTGGTATGCCATACTTGGGGTCAGGGCTAGCTAAATTTGTCTTGACCCTCTGGAGGTACTGCCCATCTGTTCTGAGGGATTGCAGCCAAGAAGGGAAATGGGTGACTCCTCTGCGGTGAGTAACCTTGCTTTTCCCTGATCTGTTTCACAAGAAAAAGCAGAGGATTTTTTTTTTTTTCCTTTCACCTTAGGTTTTGGTAGAGGTTATTAGCATATGGTGGAGGAGTTTTCTAGTGCCCTGGGACAGAACCCCTAGCCTGCGCACGCAGTGTGTGTTAGGGATTTGTCAGTGCTGAGTGGGTGGCACGGGGCAATGCAGCTGCCTGAGATGCTTCTCTCCGTGCTGCTGGGGACTGGGAGAACCAGCGTCACCCTTGGAGCCAGCTTGCATGTTCTGTGCACTCGTCAACTCTCATCCTGCAGCAGTTGTCTTCTTTATTTTAGCAGGACTCTTTGTATCTATAAGCAGTTGGCGTGGGGGGTTCACAGTCTGTTCTCAGTCACCGTTCTTCTCTAGACTGTTCTGTTAGCTGCATACCTCCTTATTAACAACTTGACAAACTTGACAACACAGCTGTCTGGTGGTCCTCTGCTGTCCATCTTTTTTTTCATTTGGAAGCTGTTAAAGACATAATGGAGATGCTCATTTCTTGGAGCTATTCAACCATTGCCCAGTTTCAAGGGGAAATCACATGTGCTTTTTTTGGTAGGTTCTTTTTTTTTTTTTTTTTTTTTTTTAATTAGGACAGCACATGACAATAGTAGTGATTAAAAATAAGTTTTGTTGCAGGATAAGTACGCTAATAAATAGGCAGCATACTCACAGGAAGAAATGCATCTGTATATAGCTCTCACACTGCAGAACAATTTCAGAAACTTTTTGTTATTGCAGTTTGTGTTGGAGATATTTACGTATATGAGGCTCTTGACCATTGCTTCTTACTCAGGGAATGGCCACATAAGCAATAAGTTTGATTTTAGACACAGTTAAGGAGACTGACTTTGAGAACAGACTCTGTAGTATTGCCATTTGTTTGGTGATGATTTTTCAGATTGATTCCCAACAATTTGAAATTCTGTTGCTTGCAAAGTAGAATTAACAGTTTTGGTTCATGTAATGATTATAGGATCTTATGGCCTTGAAAATTTTTTTTTTTTTTTTTTCCTCTTGAGTCTAGCTTTGGGTCTGGTGTGCTACTGGTGTAAACTCCTGAAGTTCTTGAGCAAAAAAATCCTAACACAGATAACACTTATGACAGCAGTTTATGCTTTTCCCCTTTTTTCCCCTTTATAGGTGGCCTTCTTATCTCCTCAGCACACTTCGGAGCATATGTATGTGGTACTGATATAGATTACAACACAATCCATGGATTAGGTATGCTAATATTCCTAAACTACTGAAATCTTACTCTCTGTAATTTAAGAATACTGATGCTTAGTGGATTTAAAAGCAGCATTAACCTTCACAGGGTTTATTTGGTCATGCTTATTTTTGTTGACCAATTTACATGTATCCTAGCTAAGCTAGTCTCTTAATTTTTAAGCAGGAAATATTTAATAAAAGGAATAACAAAAACCAAAACAAAGTTCTGAATAGTTACAACAACAGCTGTGTACTTTCTTTGTTCTGTGATGTAGGAAGCTTTTCTTGTATCCCATTCTTGCTTTTATGAAAACTGCAGTGAGATTATATCTAATTTATTGGAGAGGATTATGACAGATTGATAGCAATAGTCTAAAGTGAACATCTTTATAAATGTGTTCTGTGACACCCTATACAGATGGTTGAGCAGAAGTGTTTCTCATTTGTTTTCATTATTCCTTGTTACTTGTGAAGTTTATCACAAATTCTTGTGTCAGTGAGTACAGTGAGGCAGGAGATAAGCTCTTGTTTTGTGTGTGACATTTAATTCTTTTTCTTTAAAATAAGTGATAGAGTATATGAAAGCTTTTTGTATAAAATAGTTTGTTATTATGGGGTTTTTTCTGTTCCACACCCTGCCCCTGCCAGGCAAGGCAAGCAGAAAGAACCAGAAATGGAGAGGTCCAGATGAAAATATCAGAGCTAATCTCCGACAGTATGGTTTAGAGAAATATTACCTTGATGCACTAGTTTCTGATTCTTCAAGACCAATATGGCGAAAAGGGATGCTGTTTGATGCAATCATTACAGATCGTAAGTTTATTAATGCTTTTTGTTGCCTAATAATGATAACAATGACTGAGAGATTAACATTGCCTATGTCTCTGCCTATGTATATTGATGTAATGTCTTGAGGGGTGCTCAGATCTGCAGTTTCCATGTTATGAAATATGGCTGTTGAGGGCAGCACTGTGGAAATTGGATCTGCATTTGACATCACTGAATTTATTTTAAGGATAGTTATAAATGTGTATCAATGCTGGTGATAAGACTTTCTTCCATGGAGAGAGAGTATAATGTTTACCAGTAGAAATCAATATGGCTGACAATCATCCTTCGAAGAAGTCTCCTTCAGTAAAGGCATAACTTTGTTGATGCAAAGAGACTTCTTATCAGAGTGGTCCGTGTTGTTGTTAGGACTTAATCTGCAACACACTGGAGTCTGCCATGCAGCTCTGATTGACGTCTGGAGACTTATGTTAAGTGCTTACTGGAATGCTTCCAAAGGGAAATTTTAATGCATTTCTGATATACTTTAGTACTATAAGCATTAACACTTTGAAAGGATCCTCTGCTCTTTTAGAAACCTCTATACTTAACACCATTTGTCATGCCTGAGAGGGAGTAGAGGCTAAGTGAATAAATTAAAGACCTCAGTACAGCAATATCTGATATCTAGTGCTGGCTCTTACCATGACACATTCATATTAATTAGGAATAGGAATAGGACTTTTATTTGTGGGTTGCCTGCTAATTTTTTGGGCCTGTTTGGCAATAAGACACGGTAGAATATTACTATGACTTAGAACTGAGTTTGCAAATTGTGACACAACCAGTGTTTACAAAATTGGTGCTTCCATGATGCTGAAACAAGTCTCACAAAAACATAGGTGTTGAACACAAAATAAGTATGTTATGCTATTAGAAAAGTGCAAAAATGTATGAGAAAAAGCCATCTTTGGCTCTTCTTGTCTATGTGAGAATTACCATTTGTGTAATGTGTTGGCAAGAAATTCCAATATATACAATTTCGTTTTGAAAAAGATTAGCTAAGTGCTATAGGGGAGATGTTTCTGTCTGTCATACAAAAGAGGATGGGATTATTTATCACATGTTGGAAATGTAAGGAATATCTTTTAATGAAGAAAACAGAAAAGCGTTGTCCTTTGTAGTGTAGCAAATGTCTAGGCTGCTAGAAGTCTCTTACAGCTGAAGGGTTTTCTTTGAAACAGTTTTAAAGTAACATTTTGGAGCAAGAAACTTTTAATTGCTCTTGAATAAATTACTGACTTTTACTTTGTAATTTTTTTTTTAAACTTTGTATAAGCCACAGTTTGTGCACTGTTGTGTATGTATAATATAATTGTATGTTATTTGAACAGAGGGTGAGGTTCTAATTTCTGCATTATGCTTTTGCTTTGTACAGCACCGTATGGTATCAGAGAAGCTACTCGCAGAACGGGTTCACAAAAGGAAATGGTAAAGTCAGCTGAAAGAAGGTGGGTAAGCTGTCTTGTAGAATATAAATGCCTTAATGGAAACCCAGTCACAGTTTTAGAATCTTTATTATTTCTTGGTTGGCTGTCAGCAGTTAAAAAAACACAACAGTAATAATAATTAAGAAGAAAAGCCCTTTTGATTCTGTGCAAAACTAGTATGACACTTCCTGAAGTACTTATTTTTGTTCTCACTGCTTATCATTTGCATGTGTTCAGATTTCAAATCCTATTTCTCGTCTCTGTGAGCCACCATTACCTTGTGTTTCCTATTCTCAGAAAGTTCTCTTCAGTCCCTGAAAGCTGCAAAATCAGTCTAAAATGGAATACCTTTATTTTACTTTAGCCTTCTCTCTTGGTTTTCCACTGCTGCTTTCTCTTCAGTGATAACACATGACTTCTCCACTGCCTGGCCTTCCTTGTCTTCTGCCTTTTACTCTAAATTGACCTTAAGAAAGATGCTGTGCAAAATAGCTATTCCTAACATGATTATGATTCTTTGACTTCCACAAGTACTAAGGGTGATAGCCTAAAGAGACAGTGGGGGGAATTTGGGAAGTCATATTCCTCATAGTAGAAGTTGTACTCCTGGATTGTCCTAAGTAGTTTTGCAAATCTCAAATAGTGCTGTTTTGTGGTTTTGTTTCTTTTGGATTTTTTTTTTTGGATTAAAAATGCAGGTTTTTGCTTTACTGTTTACACTGGTAAATTTTTTGTTTAGCACAGAAAATCCCATCTTCGTTTCATCCAATTATCATCTAAGTGACATCTTTTTTGACCTATTGAAATTTGCGGCAGAATATCTGGTGATGGGAGGAAGATTAGTTTACTGGCTGCCGATATACAGGCCTGAGTATGTATTCTTGATTTCTGGTATGTAGTATGTCAGAATGGATGCTACATTCTCACTGTACTTTCTTTTGGGGCATAATACAGCTGAAACTTCCATAGTACTAGCATTTAAAAGTAATGCTCAGACTTCATATTTTAAAACTTCATATGAGGGGAGGCAGATTTTTAAATAAGGTTTTGGGATGGAGATAATTCCTGACTGTTACCAAAAAGAAAAAAGCCTTCACGTGTTCTTGCAGGTGCATGTCCAGTGGGTTGAGGTTTAAGCTTAGAAAATTATCCTTTTAAGGTGCAGATAGATTTTGAAGATAGTAGTAGCAAGGCTGTTACTAATATGTGTTTCTGTGAGAGTAGTTGATAGAGGTGCATGACAAGGTCCTTAAGAGAACATTCTTGGCTCTTTGGGGTCTGGCACTACTAATTTAGCTTTCTTCTGAGAAATCAAAAGTCAAGTGATCGAGAGATGGCAGTGAGAGGCAACAAGTGTAGGGGTGCAGCCCTGTTAGGGATGAGAGAGGCTGGCAGAGACTGCGGGATGCTGTCTCCTCAGCAGTGCAGCCTGAGATTAGAACTGGGTTTGAAACGAAAGACATCTGTTTGCATACCTTCAGCATCTCTTAGATAAGATTTTGAGGGGTTTTCTTTTTGGTTGTTTGGTTTTGCTTTGTTTTGTTTTGTTTTTTTTTCCAAACTGTTTTGTAGTAAATTGGGGAGTTGATATATAGTAGCTGTTTCTAAGTATTTTCCAGATGTAGATGTGCTCTGAAGGTAGCTTCTACAGTGTCATATGTTTCTATGTAGTTTCTATGATATATAAAGTGGTTGTTGTCCCTGGTTTCACCATGGAAACAGCCTGTGACAGTTCTACATTTAATTATCACATGCTGTTTTGAAAATTTGGAAATCAAAAGGAGCCATTTCTGTTACATGCTTCCATAACAGAAGAGTGCACTTAGTAGCTTGCATTTTTTTTTTTTAATGATAGAATTGATATCTTAGGCTTTTTTTCTTATAAGACTGTTTACAAACAAAACAAGGAGTGCCATTAACAGTATTATAGCTAATTATTCAAAATGTCTGTCTGTACATACTTAACCCTGACAAGACAGTGTGTGGTTGTGAATTCACAGATTTCCATGTCAGCAACCTCTGTTTGGAATTATTGAGTTTATTCTGTTTGTCAGGATACCAGAGCTTTTGTCTGCTCATTGAACATTGGTAAGAACATGCTTCCTCAGTACAGCTGTATAAAGTATTTAACTCTAGGCAGTTATGAACTGCACATTTTGGTTCTACTTTAGTTGCTGTTTTGAGGAGGTCAGCTCAAGCTCTAGTTGGGTTGCTTCTTAAAAAGTAAATTTGTGCTTACTGCTATGAGTTGACTATGCAATGAAGGCTGAAATATTGAAGTCACTATATTAGCACAGAATATTACTATAGTCACTTTATTTTCAGCTGTAACGATGAACACAGGAACAAACATTAAAGCAAGTATGTTGAGGGAAGATAAGATAGTGTCTACTAATATGTTGTGCTATCAAATATCCCTTGGCTACACCTGCCACCAGGTTCATGTGTTATTTGAGATCCTTGTGTATTATCTTAATTAAAAACAAAATTGGATTAAAATGGATGTCTGTTAAAACCACTGCTACTATACTACTTCTTTGATAATGTTCTGAGAATGTAGAAATATATTCATTAATGCTAACAGACGAGGTTTTTTAACAAAAAGTGATATGATCTCTGTCTCTGCAAGATAACATCTCATTCCCAAGTTTACTCTTTCAATCTAACATTGAAATCATTGTTGAGTCTGAATTCTTTCAATTCCCTTGCAGTCAGGCCTTTATATGGTTCTGAAGACAAACTTTTAAGATGTGGCAGAGTGCCTACCTTTGTAAGAGAGAGAGGCAGTTTGGTGGTACTAGATGCATCAAAAGTCTTGTGTAATAGAAAAAACAGTTGCGAATTAATTTGATGCTCCTTTGCCAAAAGCATGTTCTGACTTCACCTAGCAGAAGTGGTGACTTGATTTCACATATGAGAAGTGACTGAAAGGTGGTTTTGTGACCTGAAAATTTTGGAACAATGCAGAGAGCCAGTACTGTTTGGGTTTTATCCTGTTTACAAGTCTATAATTGGCATTGTCTTAGTTAGCAGCTCATGATTATCTTTAAGAAATGTCAAGATTTCCACCAGCACCTAGAGGGATCCTATTTTGAGTTGTGTTGCATTTGACTTCCCTTTCTCCCAGAATGATACATCTACTTTGTAAAGTGCATTCAGAAAATCCACTTATTTGCAGAAAAAGTATGAAGCTCGTCCTTTCTATCTTTAAGTGATAGGTGTGAAAGTTGTTTAGTTCTCCTTTTTAGTGTCTGACTTCTGTTGACCCCCAAGCATGGAGGTATCATGAGAGCAAGCATTTTTATATGAAATCATAGTCACTCACTATACCGTATACCATTTTCTGTATTATGTTGTAGAAACTATTACAGGAAAGCTTATTACAAAAACTAAGACTACATATCTGATCTATATTTCAGTATATAAGAGAGATGTCTGATCTCATATTTATCTTATTAGCTAGGTCAATACTTTTTGCTCCTGAAGTCCCATGCAAAGCCCTTAAATCCTTAAATTCCTCTTCCAGTGTTAGGAGAAATGGAAGGAAAACATCTAGAGAAAGCTGTTTCTATGCTTATGAGATGGGGGCAATTGAAACACTGTAACCACTTGTTTCCATAGTCCAGGAATGTAACTGTCTGTAAGAACTGGTTTAATATGACTTGGAATTGAAGTGTAATGGTCTCCTTTTAGGGAGCCAGAGTTAAGTCTCTTGTTCCTGCAACTTTATATGTGTTGACTGTGGAATACATTTTTAAAAATCACAGCTCTGATTGGATAAGTTATTAATCCTGATTGCCTGAGGTATTTTCTACTTGAAATTATGCAGGCAGGCCTGTGTGCATACATTAACATCATGTAAATATGTGTAGAAAATATGTATATGGAGTCTCTCTACTGTGAGGTTTTAATTTATTCTACACATTTTATGTCACAAGATGATTGGAATGTAAAAACTCTGGAGCACCAGTACCTGAATTTCTTTAATCAGATTGAAATGCATGTCAACTTTCTAGTGTAAGCCATTTTAGTGAAGAATCTGCATGAATTTTGTTTCAGATGCAAGTCTTCCAGTTCATGAGCTTATGGCTCTATGAATGTTTATTTCTTCCAGATACACTGAAGAGATCATTCCCCGCCACCCATGCCTGAAACTTATTAGCAACTGTGAGCAGATGCTTTCCAGCCACACATCAAGGCGCCTGATAACCATGGAAAAGGTGAAAGAATTCAAGGTAAGATTTGATTTTATTGTGTAAAATAAATAGTAGCTATTGCATTCATGAAAAGTTTGTGCTGTTCAGCATTTGATCCTTATTTCTATCACACTTGAATTTTTTATGATGAGAGTTAGAGCTTTTGTAATATTGCCACACATTGTTTAAAATAAATTAGGTAGTGATTTAAGACTGCTCTGGTTTTGGTATTTTAATTTTTCTTCTCAATTTTTGATAAACTTTTCATCCTGAGCAAGCTTCTTATAGTGTGAAAAAGATCTTTGAACTTAACGGTTGCTTATGAAAGTGGCATATGCTTTTCTTGTAAAACTGAACTCTGTGAATCCTGTCTACAGAGATGCCTAGATACCTAAATTCCCATTGGTTCCGAAGTGTAATTTGGCACCCAAGTAAATACTAAAGGCCTTTTCAGGTCTAGCAGTACAGGTAAACTGTATTCAATTCCCTTACTTCATTTTTAGAGTGATACTTTTTTAGCTTTTGGAAACAATATTGTAGCTGTGACATAAGTACAGTGAAGCACATTGGTTTTTTTTTGTTTGGGGACACGCTAAGTGCCTCTCCTGAGGCACTGAGACCAGGGAATATTGCACTCAGGTCTCCTTTACATTCTTGCTGCTTCTCTCACCTAGTACTGTTAAAAGAGATGCTAAACAAAGGTGAAGCAAATTCTCAATGAAAACATGCAAATGGTGAGCAGGTGTTTTTATTACATTCCTTGTCAGCTGGAAGAGCTATTTTAAATGCCAGGAAGTAGTCAGACAGCTGTGTCTGCATGGTGCTTGCACTAATAACACAGCAGGGTTTCAGTACTGCATTCATAATGCTAATGATGACTGAGATTCTCAAGGAATGCCCGATTTTTTTTAAAACATCGTATGTGGAGTTCAGAGCCAGAGCTGCCAACTTCACCAGTAGCGAGCCAAGAGAGTAAACTATGAAAGTTTTTGATGTGTGTTGTCTCAGGGTGTTCATGGAGGTTTTCTGCAGGAGTTTCATTATTGGCAGGGCTGTAGGATGTTAAAAATTAGTGTTCTAATTTTAAAAATATATCCACCCTTTTGCGAATGGACTTTTATCATTTGTTATTCTTGTTTGTGCATCACCTGTTCTTCAGTACGTACTTTGACAGGTTCATGTGTGGAAACACTTAGCTGTGAGCACCTGAGTCTAGTTGGCAGTCTTGCTGCGCTGTGCAGGTGCTTGCACTCGGGACTCCAGATGTCTTTTAGATAATTTAAAGATACCAGAACCCATATACTGTTTCTGATGATGCAAAACTTGTCCAAATAACAAAATACATATAGACTCCTTAGCTAGTGAGTGTTTAAGGTTTTGGTGTTTGATGTCTAACTATCTTAAGATTTCACTAGCCCAGTGTTCCTTACCTGGGACATGTTTTTTCCTGTCTTAATATCTTGAACAACCTTTGAATCTGATACTTCTGACTTGCTAGATATAATAAAATTCAGTAGTTAGAGCTTTGGCCATTTTTCTTTTTCCTGAATGAAAGAGTGAATTTTTGTGAATATACAAGCATTTATGTTTCCAGACAGTTCCTGTCCGCTTTACTGAGCTGGTTTGAAACAAGCACTCACAAATGCCTTTTAATTCAGCTTAGTGTAGTACTCACAAGTGGCTAAGACGTTTCACATATCCGGTAGTGTCATTATGCAGTCCTTTGCTTTCCCCAGTGTTTGCTACCAATAATGAATTGCAGATTTCACAGCAAATTCAATTTCACTATTAACACTCTAAACTCTGAACTGGACATTAATTTAATCAGTTACTGAAATTGGTGGTGCGATTTGATTATGCTTGTAATATAAAGGAGACCAAAGTGAATGTAAAAAGTGAATATGTCTAGTTGAAGTATTGATCTATCATAATTAATCATAAGCATGACGATCATAAATGTCTGATTAAAAACATCACAAAAGGTGGTATATAACTCACTGTCTTGTAAGCATCCAGTCTGTTCCATTTAAGTTTATGATGAAATCGTGATCGTTTCCAACTGGAAAAGATTTCTTACTGAACCCAGTGTTGACATGAATAGACTTTTCCAGCATGTGCACAATATGAACAGAAGAGTTGTTTGTTTTTTGACATTTAAGGCTTTTTTTGGACAGCCATGGTGGTTATTAGTAACCCCCCTCCTCCCCAATCTTAAATGATGGCGATAATAATAAAAGCGATGCCAGCAGTTGTAGAGGGCAGCTATCAGTAGCCAGCTAGTGACTTCTAGTCTTCTAGAACTCTGAAGGCAGAAGAATTAGAGAAGTGAAGGACAGGAGTGTAGAACAGGAGAGGAATAAAACAAGTCATACGAGATGCGAGCTTACTAGCCTGATGTATTACTTTTTCCTGTGGACATTAGCATCCTTTCTTCTGGTATTAAATGGATGTGAATCTCCACAATATCTCTCTAAACCTGAAATAAAACTTTCTAATTTATATTATAGCAAGCAGGACTGTGTGTGAGTCTACCCTCATTGAACTGTGAAGGGAGGGTTTTTTTAAGCATTAAAAACACAGCTCTCCAAAAACTGTAGACATTCATATGTAAGAACTGAAATACAGTGGTAGGGGAAGAATGAGAAGCTGCTGTCCAAGTAGATTTATGTCATAATGTCTTGTCGACTGTGACCCAGTAGGAGTCCAGTCTGAATTCAGAGGAGGTTTGAACCAATTCTTCCAGCTGAAATCAAGTTAAAATGTACGTTCCATTGTGCCAGCTTATTTTCTAAAAGCCTTAAAAAATATACTTGTGTAAGACTGAAGGGTCTCAGTCTGTGCCACCTATATCTGAATTGTCATCATTAATTTTTTTAAATGTCAAATAACTGGTAAAAGATTAATCAGTAGAAAATTGGAGTATAAAAACTTACAGCATTATTACCACAAGGGTAGAAATCATGTAGCAAGATGAAACAGAGAACTTGACTGAAGGACAAACTCGGAGCATATGACTGCCCATCAAGGGACTCTAGAGCATCGGACATACGCATCCAGCACTCTGAATAGGTCCGGCATTTCCACATCACAGTCACTCCAAAATCTTTATTTGTGCAGAATTTTTCCTGATGAATTTAGCAGTGTCTGTTTCTGGATGTGGCCCTGTTGTCCCCGATTTGGAAATTGCTCAGTGTTGTTTATAGCTGTATAACATTAGTACAAGTGGTTTCTATAGCTGCTGTCCACCACCAGATGTGGAGTGGTAGGAAGCTGTGATAAGGCTAGGAAGCTTTCTTTAAACAAAAACTGAATGTGGATAATTAGTCTGAGGCTGAACTGAGGCATTCTAGATTCATAAAAACCTTTAGAATTTCACTTAATATTTGCCGATGTTTAAAGAAACCCAAATCTTTCTTGTTATCTTTAAGCTTCCTGCTCTTTCTTCCACCTCTTTCATTATTTATTGGAGATCTGTAACACTTTTTTGGGGTCGTCTTTAGAACAAGTAAGCATTGAGTTGAAAACTCAAATTAGATAAAAGCAATTTGGTAGCATACACTTTGACAAGAGCTTTGTTGGTTTTCAGTTGTCACAGAAGTCATCGTAAGACATTTCCGAGCAAAAGTTTTGTGTGATAACTGTTGTTTGCAATTAGTCTGCTGCTTTGAGAACTTGAATTATTCAAAGTGAGAACCAAGGATGATGTTAAATAATGACCAGGGATTAATGAACATCTTCAGTTCTGACTTCTACAAATAAAGGAAGAAGTCTTATGTCTTCTTGGTAGTGCTGGTAGGCTGGGGAAAGAGCTGATTTAATGCCAAGTAGGCTGATCATTGTTGATCAGTTTTGGAAGTGATTTCTTAGGAAGTCTTCACTGTTCTGTGTTGAATAACCAATTGCAAACTTTATGCCTTGAAAACTATGTACAGTTGCTTCAAAGGAAATTAGTGGAAAATGCTATTCACCCCCAGATGCAGCCATGTATCACAAGCAGTACTCCTTATTCCTCTTCTAGTGTGTCATGTTAAGAGGAGGAGAGAGACTATCTCCCTTAAAAAACTGTGGTTCAACTCCACTTGCTGAATTTAAACTCTTTTTTTAAAAAGTAACAGAAGGAAAAAAAAATCCATATTAACTGCACTGTGCAGTTAATACACTTGAGGGAGAGTTGACACTGCCATTGACACCCTCAATAAGAGATCTTCTCTTACTGCAAAACATTTCTGCCAGACGATATTTGGAGTGCAAAATTCTACCAATTTATGCTACTCAAGATGGAGCTTTACTGAGGGTGTTTGACTGGCTTCTTTACTGAAACGAGCTGGGTCCTGATGCCTAGGCAAGTTCCGGTGCAAATAGTCAAAACAAATTCTTTCACGAGGATGATTTTTGACAAGTTACCTTTGTAGAGTTAAATGCACCCTGTCCCTAGTGTTTGGATTGTACCCATTCAGCTTCCTGTGTAGATATAAAATACCCTGTTAGAATTTGTTCAAAAACCATTAGTCTCTGAAATTGAAGAATTCCTTTCACTTTGATCAGTTCTCATGTTACCCATAAAACTGCTTTGGCTAGTAGATGTCAACAGTGAGTGGCATCTCCACGTAGTTCAGGGTTTGTTACTTTTGCCTTTTTAAAGAAGCCATTCCTAATCTGTTATTTTTCTTTAAAGCAATTACCATCTTCATTCGGCAGTCCTGTCTGGACAGGGGAGAGGTAGGGAATGAAAGCTTTTAAGCTGGAATTATTGTGATGTGGGCCAGGAGCTTCCTTTGTAAGCTCTCCCAAGAAATCTGTGCCCGACTGCGGATCTCCTGTCATCTAACAAGCAATGATTTGCATAGCTTTTGATGAGGCCTGGATTTGCAAAGTGGATGTTGCTGTGGAGTGGTGCACCAAGCCCATTTCCATTTGATGAATGACAATGCTCCTTTTCCTCCAAGAAGGCCAACAGCATCCTGGCCTGTATCAGAAATAGTGTGGCCAAGGGAAACTTGGGAAACCTTTGTCCCCCTGTACTCGGCACTGGTGAGACCGCACCTCAGATACTGTGTTCAGTTTTGGGTCCCTTACTACAAGATAGACACTGTGGTGCTCGAGCACACTGAAAGAAGAGCAATGAAGCTGGTGAAGGGTCTAGAGAACAAGTCTTGTGAGGAGCAGCTGAGGGAACTGGATTGTTTAGTCTGGAGAAGAGGAGGCTGAGGGGAGACCTTGTCACTCTCTACAACTACCTGAAAGGAGGCTGTAGCAAGGTGGGTGTGGGTCTCTTCTCATAAGTAACAAGCAATAGGACAAGAGGATGTGGCCTCAAGTTGCAGCAGGGGAGGTTTAGATCGGATATTAGGAAAAATTTATTCACCGAAAGGGTTGTCAGGTATTGGAACAGGCTGCCCAGGGAAGTGGTGGAGTAACCGTCCCTGGAGGCATTTAAAAGATGTGTAGATCTGGCACCTAGGGACATGGTTCAGTGGTGGACTTGGCAGTGTTAGGTTAATGGTTGGACTCAATGATCTTAAAGGGCCTTGCCAACCTACATGGTTCTATGATTCTCTGATACAGCTCTGTTTAGCTTGAAGTTTGTTCTCTTACATGTCATAACCTTTCTTTCTCTAATGAGCTTGGGTGTAGAGGGGTGTAGTTCCTTTCTTCCTTCCTCCCTTCACCCTGAATCAGCATTTTGTTACTTAAGGAATAAAGATGAATGGCGTACAGATGTGTGACCTCTTAGAGGTTGTAAGGATTAATTTTTATGTTAAAATAATGTTGATCTGTATATCATTATCTTTCAGGGTCAAGTAACCCACCCATTTCTCAAACAAATTATGTAGAGTAATCACTAAAACACATCCCAAAGGTATAAAAATATATGTTTAGGTCAAAGAAGGATTACTGACCTGCAAATTCAGGGGAAGAATAAGTGGTTTTTTCCTCGGAGGGGTGCTATATACGAGACCTGGAGAAGTGGGTAAAGTCTGGCTGTGAGAGAAGCATGTCTTAAATCCTCCTTGTTTCCTGTCTGCCAATAGTAGTTTTTTTTTCCCATGGGTGTGTTTATCAGGCTGTTGATTATCAGCCTGAGAATAGTCTTAGAGATAGCAGTGTCTCACAGTGGCTAAAAGACAATATATAGTACTGTGTCTTTCTCCTGCTATTTTCCAACACTGCAGTATTTAAATAGGACTAATTTGCTGCTGCTGGTGTACATGCTTTACATGTTAGGTATCTACATGGCACTTAGCATTTAGCGAGTTAATTTAAGCCAGTGGCATACTGCTGGTATCTGCTAGAGTAGTAGATGAGAACTACTTCGTAGGAATAGCTTATTGTGTCCAGAAGAGGGCACTTGTACATGCTCACAAATGTCTTGCTATGTTGAAAAACCTTTTGTTTCACTCCTTTAGAATGCATATTAGGACATCCAAAGCAAGATGAGGTGTTGATCTTACTAGGTGAAAGCCTGGACAAGCTACAAACTAACCGGAGGGGTAGATTGTCCACTGCAATTCAGTTCATCCTTACATTGTAATCCTTCCGTAATGTATGAAAATACTGACTTAAATCTACTTCCATGTTCCTACTACTTATGCTAAAGCATTCAACAGTAAGCTCATTTTCAAATATGAACAAATAACCCTGAACTGAAACTCAAGTAATGAACCAATCTGCGTGTTGCTACATTGCTGAAAAAAGTTCTGGTAATGAGGATACATTGAGAAAAAAACATTCAGTGGAAGAGAGGTTTAGTTCTGTTGTGTGGTTATGTTCTCTTTGTAGTTCAGTTGTTCTATGTGAGGCTGTTCATCTCAGTTCCATCTTGCTAATGAGCGTAAGTTGACATCAACCGTGTTAAACAGTTTTTAAAAGTTGGCATCAGTTTTATTTAGCACTAAGATTAAAGTTTCATTTATTGTTTATCTTGGAGTATTGATAACACTAGTTGATAAGTATCTTAATTATATAAAGCCACAGTACATGGTGAAGTAATCCTTTGTATACATAATGGGCCGATTTTCTAAACTATGTCCCTGTCAAATAGGTATTATGTGTAGGGATTTACTGTGTTAACTTTAACATTCAGAAGTATGTGAATACTGCAAAAGAAAAAAATCCTCTGGTAGCGGATCAGTATCTGTAGGAGCTCATTTTAGTAATTTGTCTTCCTCTTCTGTGTGTATCTGCCTTCCAAAAACCTCTGAGTGCTTGAATTCTCCATGTGATTTTTTTTTTTTCCTGGAAACTGATCTTTGTATTTTCCTTTATAAAGGTTTGTGTGGCATAGTACCTGTGCTTTCGTTTATTCATGCAAGGGTTGGATTCTGGTGATGTTAGTTGAGATATTTCCAGTGATGCAGCACTGTTAAAACTTCAAATGTCTGGTACTGACAACTTGCATAACTTTTGCTGTACAGAGTAGAATAATGAAAATTTGAATGAGTACATAAAAAATCCAAAAACCCAGGAAAAAAAGCTTTCTGCTTACAGCTTGTATTTGATCAATGTCAAATGAGAATCCATTGTATATGGATTTTAATTTCTGTTAAATGTTAAGACTTTGCAGTAGGATGTATATGTTCTTGTTAATTCTGATGGAAACCTTAGCATTCTATTTTTTTACTTCTTTAATCAATCTAATGAGTTAAATGTTTGCTGTTGAATTGTAAAAAACCAAAACCAACAAAAGAAGTCAACTTTACTCTTGCTTGTAACTGTCTGAAAAAGTCTGGAGGAAAACCAATGGCAGTGCTTGCTGAACATACTACCATAAAACCTAATGCTTGCATTTTGATACCATGCAGGATCAAGATCAGAATTCTTACTTATTGGATGGTCAATATATGCCATACAGGGGACACAATTCATTTCGTGAGAAGTATTTCAGTGGTGTGACAAAGAGGATTGCCAAGGAAGAAAAAGACAATCAGAAGTAAAATATAATATAAACAGATTAAAAAATGAGGAAAGCTTGAAGATTGTGTTTCTTTGTAAAGGACATCTGGATGTGGACATTCATTTGGATGCTTCACAAAAATAAATACTGCTTTTAATTTTAAAACAAGATGAAACCCACAACACAGGTTGAGAGCAGTGCTTTTTAATTAGCTTTGTTTGTAGCAGATTTTATTGTATAACTTTTTTTAGTCTTATTTAATTTATATTTGTACTTTCAAGTACTAATGATGATTGACTAAAATCATTATTATTGTTCTTTCACCATTAACACTTACAAAAAAGTAGTAGTATTATTTGGCTTCTTCAACTGTGAACATCTGTCTGTTTTAGAAACATGTGGTGGTGATCAAGGATTGCTTATTAAGAAGGTGATTTTCATTTGTTTTGTTTTTTTGTAAATGGTATACAATAAAACAGAAAAGATTGTTGTGAGTTTTTTTTAATTGTTGCATGCAATAACTGCTTGTATGAATTCTTGATGGCTGTGGCTGAGGCCAACAATATTTAAAATAAACAAAAAACACAAAGAAACAAATGCACGCGCGCACAGACACACACACATGCACACCAGAGATAAAAAAAGCCTCTGTGACCTGACAAACTCTGGAGAGCCTATTAAACCCTGTGAAGCCTGTCCACATCTGAAGCTCATCTGTACCTTGGATTTGCTTTTGCATTCCTAAACCTTGACTCTTGGTCAAGCCAACTGTCTGCAATTTTTGGTTCAGAAACCGATAGTTAAAGCAGTAACAACAACAGCATAAAATCAGTAATGGTTCCCTAATGGTATTAAGCCTAATCAGATCTTTGAAATTGAAGCTGTATTTGTTGAAGGGCAAACTTTGCTGAATCCACACCATGTCCATCATGAAAATACCTCATTTGAAAACCACTAAGCCCATTAATTCAGGATGTTAATGGCTCTTCTTATTTTGGTGGTCAGATATGGTCCAATATTCTTCAGCAGGGCGTTGGTGAATGTATCTACTTGCTCCAGCCGGAGAAAGCCTTGCTTCTCAGCTTGATGCAAGTTACTGACTGTGGTTGTGTTACAGCCTTTGTAGATTATAAGTGCATCCCCAAAAAAACAATGATACCTAGGAAGGCACAAGTCATTGTGTATGTCTGATCGAGTTCATGAACTGAATTTGCTCTTCTGTGTGTTGTGGTCCTCAGCTGCAGCAGGGAGAGCTCAAATACTCAATGACAATTTTGTCTGACCTTCTGGATCTAATCTGTGGTGTGTTAGGAGGTTCTGAAATAGTCATTTATTTTCTGTGTTTCCATTATAAATCACTTTGTTTTGAGACTTTTAATGTCAGCCATATAATAGTTGTTCTGGGCTAAACTTGGAGCAAGATCAAAGATCAGAAGATTTTTCAAAAGCAGAATTTGAATTGATCACTTTCAAATATTACATCAAAAAATTACTGCTTCTGAAAACCTGTCTTCATATAACTTCTGACTTTAATTTTAGCATTACAATTTGGCTTTCAGCTTTTATAACTTTACAAATTAAAATTACTTTCTGTTCTTCATAGGCAAGGAATTTTTCTAGATGGATTTATTATGCATTTATAGCTTAATTTTCATAAAAGTTACCCTACGTAGACATGACCTAAATGGTTATACAAGATGTCAAGTAGTGGCAAATCTGGCTCTCTATATTCAAAGAGAATGATTTAGTTTATTTCTCCTCTGCCTGGTCCAACTTTTAGTCCATTCAGCAGTAGTGGTGTGGCCTCTATTTAGCAGTTCATACATAACAGCTCTATCATTACTGAAGAATACCATTATGAACAGAAACTGTAAGTGTATTTGGGGTACTGCATCAACATCCGCTAATCAAAAATAGTTCAGAATTGAAATCAGATGTTCAAGCTCTGCTGATCCCCAACTTTAAAGCTATCATTTGGAAATATTTCTGATCTTTAAATTTCTCCTCACTTAATGTGCATGCTCCAGCCTATTGTATGCGCAGACTTACAAAGCGGAGGTGTTTATAGCTGTAGAGCCTTGATACAGTCCTTGCACTCACTCTAACGAAGGACTGACAGGCGGATGAGTTATCCTTTCGGCAGGATTTGGCCATCGATGGCTGCGGTTTCTGGCGCTTTTGTTCGATCTGGTTCCATTCAGTCTCCTTCCGTGAGGTTCCAGTTTCCTGTCCCTGGCAGGGAGGGTCAGTTCACGAGCCTACACTGAACTCATGCCGTTGTCATTCTCTCCTTTGGGGTGGTTTGTGCCATTTTCCAGTTTTGAAAAATAAATGTTATTTTTGGAGCACTTTGTTGCGCTGCAGCAAATTGGATGGAGGGAGGAGCTGAAAGCCGCTACAAGGTCATATGGGCAGAGGCTGTCTCTTGCTGTAGGGAGTGATTTGTCGAGGCAATGAAGAGACAGAGCCCTTTCTGTTCACAGAATCTCTTTACCTGGTGGTGGTGTTGCCGGCTGCAAAGCCTCCCACATATCTATGGGAAGAGGAAGCAGAAAAGTAGCAGAAATAGATTTTCTCTGCGTTAATTGTGTGCCCTACCTGCTTATCTCTCTCTTATACTTTTTTAAATTAGTGGCCAATTTGGACAAGTTTGAGAGAAGGTCAAGGTTTGATGAGGTCTTACAGATAACGGGGAGCTACAAATTTTGTTGAAAAAGGCAGAGGTGTTCAAGAAAAAGACCTAGTTAGTCTCTTCCAGGGCAAAGGTTGCAATCTGAGTTCAACTCTCATTAAACATCAGAGAACCCACATGAAAACAAGGTGTGGAGACAAAAACTCTAACCATGACTTTTGTTGCTGCTGCTGCTACCAGTGCTGGTCCTGCTGCTTCCTGATCGTCTCCTTAAAACAAAATGACCCAAATAAAAGCATACAAAGAGTTTTTTTAGAAGGATCATAAAGGTCTTGGCTGAATTTTCCACCTACTCAGGCTATGAGACCAACTCACAAAATATCAGACTCGGAATTTTCTCCTCATTACTATGAGAGGAGTCAAGCAGGTGTGTCAGTTTGCTCAGCATCTCAAGGAGAATGCAGTCCTCCCTTTAAAACAACCTAAGAAACTGGTGTCTGTTATTGGGACAACACGTAATGCTGGGTCTCCTCTAGCAGAGCAGGCTTTTTGTTTCCACAGTGCCCCTCTGGGCTTTGTGCTGGTAGCATGCACTAAAGCAACTCCTGCTCACTGGATATGGGCACTTCAACAGCAACTCTTGAAGTTTGGTTTTGGTGGATCATTCCTGCCTCTCTACGTGTTCAATGGGGCTGGAAGAGTGTGGTGGAAGTCCTTAACTGTTTGGCATCTCTTCTTTTACTGTTACAGTAGTATTTTAGCTCTGAGTTGTGACTTACAAAAGGGTCATTGGTACACATGGAAGTTGGCAGAAGGCAATCAAATTTTTGTGAGTTCTTGGTCAAGGCTCACCTCTCCAAAAATACTGAAAAACACTGCTAAGAGGATAAAGTATGGGCTTTCTCTCACACTGTTTTAATATAACAGTTAACTGTAGAGATGTTATAGGGAGGAAACACCTTAATAATTCTGAATCTTGTATTTCCTTCTATCACTGCTTTTTGAGATTTCTTCTTAATGGTTATTTCCACTGTCCCAGGACAACTCCACAGCCTCAGGACCACCTGCCAGAGAAGAGTGTCATAGAAAAGGTGACCACTGCTCTGGCCACAGATTCTCCAGAGACAAAAATGTCCAGTTGGGAGTGGGCAAGGCCGGAGCAGATGATACGCAGTGGTTACGGGTTTCCCTGTCGGACAACAAGCAGCTCTGAAGTTAGCTGACAGGAGGCTGATCAAGTCTCCAAAAGGCAAAGGTTGTTCTCTGCTGGCTCAGCTCCCGTCACCACCATGTTTCTCTATTCCGACTCTCCACCCCTCCACAGAAGCTGAGAAGGAAAATTTAATGCATTCTTTCTTTGCTGTTTAGCTTGGTCTGCAGTTTAAACAGAGGTCTAGAGTTGAACAAGGCTGTCTTTTCAAGTCTGGAAACTTCTTCCTCTGCTCCTGAAAACAATAAAGTTGTGGGTACCTGGGGGAATGAAGAGGCTGGTATTTCTCTCTGCCTTTCTCTTCTGTTTCCTATTTGGAAAAAAACGTGGTTTTTTTACCCTTGTTCTCTTATTGCATTGATTTTGGTTATCACATCATTTAAAACAGTGAACTATATCTTACCTGCCTTCATGCTACGCTTTTAAATATATTTCTCTGATGTTTTCTTATTGGCTTATTGGACTGTAAAAATCTGTTTTATGTATGTATCCTCACAACTGTTTTCATTATACTTTTCTATCATGGCTGCTTTTACTTTGTGCAGTGCCTCTAATCAGTTAGTTACAGGTTTCCTAACCCTATGGATGTGGAGGACACCACTCAAAAGACATGTCAGCTCTCTTTCAGCTAAAAGGCTTCATCAAACCCAAGGTCCTGGAGAAAGGACAGTGTGGGTACACTAAGGGTATTGGACCTCAAGACAGGTTTGCCAAGTAAGATCTCTTTTAATTCTTGTAGGTTGCTTAAGATGGGGTGGGCAGCTGACAGGTAAAATCCATTGATAGGAGATCTTACTGCTTTCATGGCCACTGTTGCGATCTTAGGCATCCGTACACTCAGTGAGGTGCCCAGGAGATATGTTACAGATCACTGACAACCCACAGCAGTCCTAGGCACAGTAGGCTTCGACCCTGCTTGTCAGGTTTGACAAGGAGTATTTTGAGTACAACTGTATAGCAACAGGACATTTTGCTTTATTTAAAATTCCACAAATGTTGATTTTTTTAAATTCAATTTTTGGGTGCCGGACAGAGACTATTTTGTACAAAGATATGATTGCCAATGATCATCTGATATTCTAATCCAAAATTTCTGTTGTTTAAAATGGGTAAAATAGTAAAACAAAGTCTTGCCTTCTAAAGATGTCAAAACAGCATAGTTTTATCACTGTTTTAATTCTGTCCAAAACTAAATTTTATTTTAAAATTACTTTTTAATTTCTTTTTCAATGAAAATGCCACTTGCTGTATAAAATTCTAATTTAAAGCTTGTTCTTCATGGATTCATTCTAAAAAAATTTTTGATAATAAAGTGCAAAATAACAGGTCATGTTACTGTGTGTGATGGGATAAATAGTTAATTGTAATCAAACACATAACTCCTAACTAAACAACCTCATGCCCATAAGGAGATAACCATTGGCAAAACAGTCATGTAGCAGTTAATCATAATGCTTCCTTCTGTAAGAGTCTGTCCCAAAAGATGGCATGTCTCTGAGTGATGGCTAAGGATGGATGCTCAGTGCCACGGCTGGGCAGCCCAGAGTGTCTTTGCTTTATCCTGAGATTGATACAAGAGATTTCCACTGAACACAGAATTATGCTGATGACAGATGGCATTTTGGAGGCAAGACTAATCCTTGGTCTATCTT